TGTGCGCTGATACGGACAAGGAAGCACGCACCCGGAGCGAGACAGAGCCGAATCCTGCCCCCAGAACCGGGTGCTGGACTAGCGGCATGACCGCCTGTCCTTTACTGCATTGATAACGACAAGGGAGCATGCACCCTGGAGTGAGACAGAGCAGAATCCTGTCCCCAGAACCAGGCACTGGGCTTGCCGCATGCCCGCCTGTCCTCTACCGCGCTGATACCGACAATGGAGCACGTACCTTTACTGCACTGATACCGACAATGGAGCACACACGCTGGAGCGACAAGGACCCGAATCCTGCCCCAGAACCAGGCGCTGGTCTAGCGGCACGTCCGCCTTAATTCACCAACAGCAACCTGGGAGACAGCCTCTCTCCAGAGGGGACACGGCGGAACTCCGCCCCCAGAACCACACACTGGCTAACCGCACACTCTCCTGTCCCTTACTGCGCTGAAACAGACCAAAGAGTCCACCGCTCAAGGCGTGACAGAGCCGAATCCTGCCCCCAGAACCAGGTGCTGGACTCGCCGCATGCCCGCTGTTACCGCTCTGATAACGACCAGGGAGCACACACCCCGGAGCAACAAGGAGCCGAATCCTGTCCCCAAAACCAGGTGCTGGACTAGCGGCATGACCGCCTGTCCTTTACTGCATTGATACCGACAAGGGAGCACGCACCCTGGAGTGAGACAGAGCAGAATCCTGTCCCCAGAACCAGGCACTGGGCTTGCCGCATGCCCGCCTGTCCTTTACCGCGCTGATACCAACCAGGGAGCACATACCCCAGAGTGAGACAGAGCCGAATTCTGCCCCCACAACCAGGCGCTGGACTCGTCACAAGCCTGTCTGTCCTTTACTGGGCGCTGATACGGACAAGGGAGCACGCACCCCCGAGCAACAAAAAGCCGAATCCTGCCCCCAAAACAGGCGCTGGACTAGGTGCACGCCCGCCTGTCCTCTACCACGCTGAAACCAACAAGGGAGCATGCACCCTGGAGTGAGAAAGAATAGAATCCTGCCCCCAAAACCAGGCGCTGGATTAGCGGCATGCCTGCCTGTCCCTTGCTGAGCTG